TTTGTTTCTTACTCTCCTTATCTCATCTATTTCATTCACTTCTCTAAACATATCTTCCTTGCTTAAATGCCTGTTGTGTATATCTTCTTTAAATTCCTGTAGAGACTGAATCAGCCTTTCTCTAAAAGTTCCTTCTGTTTTTTCCTCCTCCTCTGGCTTTTCCTCAGGCTTTGGCTCTTCCTCAAGCTTTGGTTCACTCTCATCTTCTGGTTTTCCTTCCATTTTTTGACAGGGTTTCATCTTGTCTGCCTCTCTTCCTTTCTTCCTTTCCCTCTTCCTTACTTTTTCTCCGCTTATTCCTCTTTGAAAACAATTATTTCTAGGGAACGAGAAGGAGACGTTAAGTCAAAGGTTTGGTGAATGGAACAGTGCTCCGGACATAGGTCTCAGTATTTGCTTTTATTGATTCAGAGGTATCATCAAATATTTTCCATCTGGGAAACTCAATCAGCCATCAGGGATTCACTGAGCCTGCAGCTCTTACCTTCACTTTCCACCTCCTCACCTCTCTCTTGTCCCTCCCACCAGCCTTTTCCAAGGCCCTCCTCAACCATTTCTCCTGCACTAGGCATAACACAAGAGCTTTCTAGACAGAGTAGGCTGGGAGAAGGGGTTAAGGGGGAGGCGCAGTGAGGCCGACAACCCCAGTCCCTCCCTCGCCCACCTCCACCCTGGGGGTCTTTTTAATATTTCCCTCACCTACCTGTACTGATCCAGTCACTTTCTTCCTTGCCTTTTCTAGCCTTGCGTACTGCTATGAACAACAGACCTGCAGACCTGCGGACAAACGGGAAACGGGAGGGGGAGGGGAGAGGAGGAGTGGGATGGGGTGGGGCGAGCGCTTGGTGGGCCGACCAGCACCCCACACTTTTTTCTCCATTAAGCTTCTCGGCTTTGGTAACTTTCCCACCTTCTGCTTCCCCCATTTCTCCCTCTCTCCACAATGCCAGATAGCTCGAATTTTCCATCAGACAGGGAGTAGGAAAAGCAGATTATTTCCAAACTATCTTTAAGACAGAGGTGGGGGGCTGGAAGGAGGGGAGGTGTTAGGAAAGCGGTCTGAGGTGGCGGAGGATGATTATTTTTAAACTATCACAGGTGTCCTTGTCCTTTTCCCGAGACCCCCCCTAGTCCGTTTCCCAAGGGTTATCATTCCCCGCAGACGTGGAGGTGGGAAGTGGAGAGATGGACTAGACCAGGACTCCCTCAAGTATCTGCTCTTGGCCACCCCCACCCTAGAAATCCCTGGGCAGCAGCTATTTTGCCACCAACCTGCAAAATTCCAGCAAACTGACTCCTCCTTCCCCTAGCCGCGGGCCCCGCTGTCTGCGCTGTTGAAGGAAGCTGGTACCCAGACGGGAATCAGGACCAGACTAGCAGGACTTCTGCACACGTCGACTCCTGGTCACGTGAGACCTACGTCACCAGTGAGCTCGGGTCCTCAATTTCCACTCCCACCAAAAGCGCGGCAGAAGTGGGCCGGCCCTATGCCCCCTCCCCCCTTATTCATTTGGCCCTGTCCGTCTTTTTTGCCTATCCCAGAGGGAAAATTGTTATTTGCCTTTCTCCGATTACTAGAGAGGGGCTGCATCTTTTTCTGGAGCTAAACTTTCTTACTTCTTTCAAGAATTGTCTTTTCCTACCTTCCGCTCCCAGGACTGAGAACTTCAACCTACATCCATCGCCCCTCCCCCAGCCTCCATTTCATCTGCAATCTGGTCCTTGCCTGCTGTGGAACAGGGTTGATTTGACAGCAGGTTGTTAAAAAAAAAAAGGAGCCTGGGACAAGAGTAAGGTTTTTTTTAATGTAGTTTTAGATTTTATACTTAATACTTTTATGTATTTTGTATTTTTAAACAGTAACAAATTTCAACTGAGTAAATGTGAAGCTCTAATTGGCTTTATTCGACAATTCCCGCAGCATCCCATCCATCTAGCCTCTAGAAGGGTGTTCCCAGGGGCTGTGCAAAATGAAAGGTTAGGAGAGTGGGGCAAGGGAGCTATTAGCAAAATAAAAGAAAGGATTATTTTTATCTTAGAACACCTTTTGCGGGGGGATGGGGAGGAAGGGATCAGCAAGGGTTTTATCATACAGATTGCTTCTTCCTCTAGGGGATGGAGAGGGCCTACGTGACAGATTACTTTACTGTTGCTTGACCAGAAAATTCCAGACTGGCTGATTTAAGATTACATTTCTGGGAGAGGCTGAAACTGCAGTTAGGTCAGGTATTAAGTCTAGGTTTGGTATCACAGGCTTTAGCACCAGAGATTGGGTTTTGGGCCTGTGGTTTTCTGTCTAACGAACTTACATCTTTTTATAGTCGGAAAAGAAAAAAATAAAATTAGTTAAATGAGTTAGTAGGTGTACAGTCCTGAGAATAGTGCCTGGCATATGGTAAGTGCTTTAAAAATGCAAGCTCTTATTATATTAGGATTTCATTTGGGGAAAAGGATTCAAAATGAAACTAAGTAATGTTTGACGCCGGAGTCTTGGTGGTGGTATTTGCCAGGAAGCTGTGCTGCCTGCAGCATCCTCAGTTGTCTGGTACACACTGTGAGCCAGTTTCCTCATCTGGGACAGGGGACTAATAACGAACACCTCACAGAATTGACTGTTGGGAATTCTTTTTTTTTTTTAATGGAGTTACTGGGGATTGAACTGAAGACCTCATGCATGCTAAGCACACACTCTACCACTGAGCTGTACCACCCTCCTCCCACCATTCTCCTACTCCCCACCATATCTGTTGGGAATTCTGGATAACACTTGGTTCAAAGCACTCAGATCATATACAGTTTTCAACAGACATTGGCTACCTTTCAACTTCCCCTCAGTCTTTGATAAAAGTCACAAATTTGCCAATAAAAACCACATAGTTCTGAGGGTAAAATTTGAAAAATAACAGGAAGAGGCATAAACATTTATTTTTGTTTTGTATAAGTTTTGGTGCCCCTTTGTGAGGCAGAATAAAGAGCTCAATGGATTATGTGGAAAGGAAAAAAACTCTCACCCCATGTTGTTTTATTTCACTTGCTCTTCTATCACCATGTTCTATCTTCTGGGAAGCATGTGTATCTGAGCACCAGAAAACCCAAGATATAATGATTTGGGTCTGCTGGACAGAACACTGGTGTGAAAGACAGGAGGTGGTGTTAGTCCCAGTGCCCGACCTAGAACTGACTCTGGGACACTTAGTAAGTTGCTCTCCCTGTCCTGGCTTTACCTCTAAAACAGGAGAGCTCGGGCCAGCTCTCAGGACCATAGAAAGAAGCATGTGATTAGAAAAACATTTGAATACATTGTCCTTAAAAAGGTTGAAGCATCCTGATTAGCAGTTGCTTTTCTCCAGCTTAATGGAAAGGGTTCCAGAAATGCTTAGAAGGTCCTGAAAAGGGAGAGGTGCTCTGCTGCCGTTATCTGATTGTATACTACCAACAACAACTGCAAGGAACTATTGTCATATCCATTTTATATATGAAAAAAGCTAAACAGAGGGTTTAAGCACCATGCACAAAGCAATTATCTCCTTAGATCTGAGCAGAAAAGTCCTCCACCCAAGGCCCCACTTTTAGAAGGGTCAGTGTTTGGTCCTCTGGATGCTCTCTCCCCAGGTACTGAGGGGTCAGTGAGGCAAGAAGATGTGCTGACTTGGAACTTTCACTTCCATCCTTCTGCACCACATTCTGGACTCCCAGGACCCTAGAACACCCTGCACAAAGGACCTGGGACCCCAATCCAAGGCTTGCTCCTGCCTCTTCTCCAGGTCTATCCTCCTGAGAGTGAGCCACATCCCCTGTGGGATTACCCTAGGATTGGAATAGATGATCTAGCTGGAGAGGAAGGGCCCCTTTCACATGAGGCCATCTGGAGAAAGAGCTAAAGGAAAGGGTGGACTGCCAGGCCAACGGGAGCTCAGAGGAGGCAAACGCCAGTTAGCCTGATGTAATCAGAGGAAGCCTCATGGAAGTAAAAGACCTTGACTTGGGCTTCAGAAGGTGGGCAGGACCTAGATGGAGGGTGGGAAGGAAAGAGGAGACCAGTCTGACTGACCCTAGGCCCTAGGTCTTCCTTACCATTACCTGGCCTGTCTCCTGTTGCCCTGGTGGGTCAAGTCCACTTGCTCCTCCTTACTGGTGTTTATGTCTATTGACGTGCTATTGTCTGAAAGCAGGTTCAGGGCAAACACTTTTTGACATGTTGTGCGCTACCCCCAAGGACTTTCTCACTTGTTTCCAGGTTATGGAATGTGAATTGGTCGACCTTTCTGGATAGTACTTAGGCAATTGCAAAGTATTTAAAATATGCATTCCCTTTTGAGCTTGTAAATCCATTCTTGGGTATTCACCCTGAGAAAATATTTAACAGTAGTTACAATGATTTACGACCACACGGTTTATTTGTAGACCTGAATTCCTGGCATCAGTTCTTTGACTAGGACCTAAATATACAAAGAGAAGCCACAGGTGAAAAGCAGCGATGAAGGAAAGAGAATTGTTCTAGGAAACAGCAGATGTGCAGCCAAGCATGTACACATTGCACCTACAATTCACACATGTGTGCACACATTCTCTCATAAAGCAACAATTCTCCCAGATGAGTTTGCTACAGGTGAGAGAAAGTAAACTTTGTAATTCTGTTAAAACAATTCAAAGTGCACCAATGGTATGTACCATTTAGAAGTGGAAAATGACTATTAGGATATTCAACACAATTCTTTATAATAGGAACAATTAAGAAGGAAATTAAATGTCTTACAATGAGGAACAAGTTAATTTAATTCTGTAACAACAATATCATAGAATTAAAGTAAGATCTGTTTTTTTATTTCTTTTGAAAATTTTTTTTTGGTGGTGGGAGGTAATTAGGTTTATTTATTGATTTATTTTTGAAGGAGCTACTGGGGATTGAGCCCAGGACCTTATGCATGCTAAGTGCTCTACCACTTGAGCTATACCCTCCCCCCTCAAAATGAAATCTACTGAGAACAGAAGTGAGAGTTAATTTTCCACCTATACAATTAGAAAAGATGAAAAATACTGATGATATTCAGAGTTGGTGAGGGTATGGAAAACAGGCATTCACATGCACTTTGAGAATGTAAAATAGTATACAAATGTGAACTAGACTTTTTGTGGTGATCATTTCACAGTATAGACAAATGTTGAATCACTATGTTGTACACCTGAAACTAGTGCAATGTTATATGTCATTTACACCTCAATTAAAAAATAAAATTACAAGCAAGATGCAAAAAAAAAATAAAAAATAGAGTAAAATACTGCATATCTGGAGGTCGCTTTGGCAGTATCAAACCTTAAAATATACATGCTTTTGAACACATCAATTTCTCTTCTAGTGATTTATCATACAGAAATACTCCCATGCTAAATATGGTCATTGTAGTAGTCGTGGTAATAGATTTTATTTTTTTAAAAAAAGAAAAAACTAAATATTCTTAAAAGGGGATTGGTTTAAGAAAGATTTGAGTGTTGAATAATGCAATACTATGCAGTGATGAGAAAATACTAATGTGGAGTTGTATTTACTCAGATGAAGAAATGTCCAACATATATCGTTAAAGAAAGAAGGCAAATTGACAGTTAACACATGTAGTAGTACATTTTTGTCACAGCATACATATATTTATTTTTGTGTATTTAAAACATAGTATATAATGAAATTCTACCATAGCATGATTAATATGATCTACAAAACTCATTCCTGTAAAATTCCGGGTTGTATTATTGAGAGATGAATGGAATTACTGATGTGAGCCTATTTGGTTAGCTCACTGCACAACCCAAATCCATTGGAGACTCAGCTGTGTTTCGATGCCACCTCATAACAGTTGTTTACTCAGCACCCGAGCTTAAACATCATCCTTACGTTTTCCCCTCTCCCCATGCCCATCACCAAACATGTTATCTCCAGTGTCAAGTTATTGTAGCATCTGACTGTACTTCTCTATCCTATTAGAAATTTGAATGATTATATACTAAACTATTCCCATAGGTTGTATTTGAAATGAGTTTTCAATATAAAGAGAACTTTTACTTTCTAAATGTTGCATTAATGTATTTAAAATTTATCTTTAATTAATAACATTCAGAAAAAATGATTGAACTAAAACTTTGAAAATATGCAGGAGAAATAAAATAGCTGACAAATAAAAGATATTCATATGTTTATTGAAATGAAAGTGTTTTTATAATATATTGGTAGATGAAAAAAGCAGGTTACAAATGGTAACCTGCAGAAGGTCCCATTAAAAATAATATATATGAGTAGATATTTATATTTATACATCCAAATATTAAAAGTAGGTATGATTGGGTGTTTGGTGCATTTATGGTTGATTTATATATTCTTTTATATACTTCTTTATAGATTCTTCCATATTTTCTCAGTGGGTATGCATA